TGCACCCTTTCTGCACAGGGATGAGCCAAGCACAGTAGGGGAGACGAGTGTGAGAAGCGGAAAGAAATCTGCCTGCAGCTGGCTTATCATGGGCTGCCTGCAAAGGGTTAAGTCCAGAAAAAAGCCAGAATCTGGCCAGGTGCCAATGCAAGCCTCAAGCTAAATTGAAGGTGGCCAGCCAAGAGGCTGAGGCTGCTGTTTTCTCCCAGCTGAGCAGCTCCAGAAACCCAGCCTGCTGTGACCCATCCCCACAAATAGCTCTCAGATGCACCTGACAGGCCCTGCAATGTGGCAGGGACACGCCATTTACAAGGTGTTGCCTAAACACTCCAGCAATGTTCATTTCTCTGCTTTTTAGCTGTTTTGGTCTACGCAAAAGGGAGTCTTCAACACAAGCAGTCTTCTTTGAGCCAGGGCAACTTTTACGGGATCACTTTTCTACCACTGAGCTGCACATGCATGTGTGCACCTGACTTTTAGGGATGCCAGCTACTGATCCAGTTGATTTTAAACTGTGCAGGAAGTATTTGGTCAGGACTGGGCCTCATTATTAGGAGCAAAGTTGGATTCCCCTTTTGGTCATTACAGGGGTTGTTGCCCAACCACATGAAGTTGCACGTTGTACCGATGAGTACCTGTTTGCCTGCTACTGTGCAAGCCTAACCTCACCATCCTTCTAGAAAGGGCCCGTAACTCTTTAGGTTTCTATTAAGAGTCTGGAAGGCAGAGAGATACAGCCACTGTGCCGTCCAGCTTAGCTGGCGATTAGAGCAGGAGGCAAAGCAAGGGCCACAGAGGATCTCTAGTGAAGAGCTTAGTTCAGGAGACAGAGAGGAGCATGGATGAAACTTTCCTCACCATCTATCTCACCAAGTCAGAAATCCAGCCCAGAAGAGCTACACCTGACAACATTCATCTTAAGCTGAGACAAGTCTAGCAAGACTCTGACTGTGCCTCGGGAGCCCACGTCATGAAAGACAAGGTGCAGAAGCACTGCCTGACCCTCTCTGCAGAGGTTTTTGAGAGGCAAGGACTGAGCTGGCCACGGGCAGACACACAAGCTAATGCAAGAGGAACTTCTGCTCTGCTTATCCATGTTATTGCTGTATCAGTGTGACTGGCAGGGAATAGTTACCAGCCAGTTGCCAATGGGACATTTAAGTTCATATTTAGATATGAACAAAGCTATTAGATGTATAAAGAAGGGAAGAATCATGGATAAATATGTAGAGTGTCCACCATTATGGTTTTAAAACTTCCATTATAAAAAGAGAAAACTCCTTTTCATAAGGCCTCTATTACCACAGGCTCTGAGTGCTCCACTATCCTTACATTTCTTCCTAATGCTTGCAGGGAGACAGGAGTGCTCTCACTCCTACTTGGCAGGTAGAGAGTGACAGAGGGAGTGACTTCTCTTTTCTGATATGGACTGATACGGACAGAGAAATGAATCCAAGGCACATTGGCTCTACCTTCTCCTTGGAAGCACACTAGGAAGTCTCATGTAAACCCACATGCCCATTCAAAATTCACTGTGCTTCTTATAACAGAATCAGTCCCAGCTGAGTCCAGAGGCCTGTGAACCCACCAATTCCCGGAGGATGGGTGCTACATGACGTGCCAAGCTATCCAGCCTATGTAAACGTGCTCATGCAGTGAAAGGCACTTCCTCCTGCCCAGAGCAGATAGCATGACCAACGCTGGGGCTTTCACAAGCTCTGCATAAACACAAGCTCAGGAAGAGCAAACGCAAACCACATTTCCGCAGAACTTTTCCCCAACCAAAGGGACCTTGGTTCCCAGCCCTGGGAAAACAGCTGAAAAAGAGGCACAGGGGCCAAACCCAAGGATCTAATAGACAGCTTTGAAGAAACAAAGGGTAGGAACATTAGTTTTAATATGGGAATTGATCCGGGGGAGAAAGCAGGCAAGCAACAGAAGAGAAAGAGAGGCAAAAAGGAAATTTACTTTGGATGTGATCCTACAAACCTAATGCAAGAGACACAACTCCCCGCCTTTGCACACACTGCTCTTCACCTCAGCTGTGCTGTAATGGCTCAAAGGTCCTCCCACAGCCACAGACATACAGGCAACCCTTGTCATCTGGCTCTTGGGGTAGGAGGGACTAGGTGGAAGGTGAGGGAGAAGGCAGGACACCAGGAGCTGGAGGGAGAGGGAAGTAAATCCTGCATCCCTGCTCCTCTCGGAGCCTCGTCACCACTCGAACCAACACCGCCTCTCAGGGAACCCAGGTGTCCGAGGGTCTCCTTGTTCTGCCCTACAAACTTGGCTGCTCAGCCCACGTCTGGCAGGGCAATAGGCTCCAACCCTGGAGACAGAGCTGCCCCAAACCCACCACTGCCAGAGCAGGCTCAGGAGACAGCTCAGCCCCAAACCTGCAGCCCCGGGCAGCCAGGCTGTCCCTGCCTGCCCCAGACGCTTCGGGCCGGAGGAAGTGAAACAGACCACCCACGTGCCCACGCTCGCCACGGCCGCGCTCTGTCCACACCACATCAGGCTGTGTGGAGAGGGGAAGTCTGCCAGCGCTGCCGGTGGGCCAAGAAACCTCCAAACAGCTAACAGGTGGCTTTCAACATGAGCAGCTCAAGCTGGATTTGAACGGGTGCCCAAGCACAAAAAGCTCCAAGTTTCATCCTCAGCCCCCTCAAAAAATTAATCTACCATGGACTAACACGGAGAAAGGAAGAGGAGGCTCTACGCTGATACCCTTGGTTAGTATTTTTCTCTGCTGCTCTGTCTCCGCGCATGGTTTCTTCTCCTGTGCAAGCATGCACTGGAGAACGCTAGACCTGCTTACAAGACCTGCTAGACCTTCTTGCAAGACCTCCCAGCTTACGCTTACAGCGACAAACAAGAGGACAGACGTAGCATTACCCTTTCCCTTCAGGAGACCATAAGGTCAAAGCAAAGGACACAATGTTACATCATGCAAAGGAAGCGCTGAAAGAGAGCTTGAGAGACCACCCAGCCTAGCATCATGCCATTGGCTCTTACTCATCCCTACTGAACGCTTTTTACCAGGATCCATTTAGCAAAAGGCAGTGAAGTGACACCAGCGCTGCTGGGCCGGCCAGACGCTGGGACAGCCCCAGCAAGCTGCAGCTGCCCGCTGGGAAGCCAGGACACAAGGGATTCCCACAGGAATGCAGCCAAGGTTCAGCCTGGGTGCTGCACTCTCCCATTCAAATACGCATGGTCTAGTTCAGTTCCTTTTGCTGAGGCAAGATCAAAGTTAGCCAAGCCATCCCTAGCATATTTGTTAATTGGGGCATGCTGTAATTTTCACCTAACAACCTAACACATCGCAAAAGCAGAGAGGGAACTGCCTCATCCCATCTGTACTTCCCTCCTACCCCCAGATCTGGCTTTCTGCCCAGCCATATTACTAATCACTTCAGGAGATTTCCGGGAACTATGGAGGCATAAGGGATTTTATGTGCATTTAACGTCCTCACGTCCTGCCTTCCCAGAAGCCCTGGTTTTCCCTTGCTCTCTTTGGATGTTTTCCTATCTCCTCCCCATTCAGCCGGTTTTCACATCAGTAGCCAAGGCCTGATTATCTTCACAGCAAGATGCTCATGACTTGCAGGACTGAAACTAGGGCAGCCCCTGCCCTAGAAACCTTTGGTGTCCCAAGGAACCTCACTGGACTCTCCCCATCCAAGGTGACTCTGTACAAACACACCGTGGCGTTCAAAGGAAGGATCTGTTAGTGCTTTCTGAACAGAATTACACCAAACAAACAAGAACAGAGACATTTCTGTTGGTTTCCATCTCAATACAGAAGCAGGGCGGTCTTTGCAGACTAGTATCAGCACTGAAACACATGCATGAGATAAGCAGGCTACTAATGTCAAGTGGATATCAGCCATCTCTCCACCTTTGTTTTTTCCTCCCTGTGGGAGATCCCAATTTATAAGGAAGGAAACGAACAATGGGGGATACCCTGGCTCACCCGTACAAACTTGAATCAACAGACAGTCATACATGTCAGAGGAAGAGAGGGAGACACACACAGAAAATGCAGAACGGTGTTGGCGTTTCAGGGTGACCTTTTTAGCTATGGCAGGAAGGTCAGAGCCAGAACAGAGAACTCCGACACAATGAGCCGCCAAAGCTAAATATAAACCAGCCAAGGGCACGGATACAAGAGTTTGTTTTTACAGTGAGCCAACAGACGATCAACATTGTGCCACATCCCTGCTCAAAATAATTCACAGCTTTATCATTGCTGACAGTCTTTGCATTTTATCAAAGAGGCAGAGCCCATACTTACGCCCATTTGCCACTCTAAGTCAGTGGAAACAATTAACTAGGAATGGGAAACGCTCAGACCTTTCCATTCCTATTATACCAGTCTAGGAACATCTATTATCTTCATCTCCCATGATGGGACCACCTAATTGGGGAGCCAGTTACCTAGTTTCCTCACACACACATTACCCTTAACGTTACTTTGACTACTACAAACACCGTAGCCAATATGCCACTTGGCAAAAACTGCTTTTCCTTACACCTAGGACATGCGTTGAGATTTCTACACCTTGTTCACAAGTACCAAGATCTGGTTGACAAACTGTTTCTGCCTGCTTACTCAGAAAAAAGCTGTCTTTTACCCAGCACACCTATCTCTACAGTACCGAGAACCTCATTGAGATTTTTGAGAGAAAGGGCAGCTTTCGGAAAAGAAAAAACACTGAGAGGTTAAGAACAAGGAAAAGAAACATGCAAGAAGAAAAGGATGAAGTTAAAAAGAAAACATACTACAGTCCCAAACAATAGATGGAAAATTGCTCTAGCTAAAATACAGAATGCTATTTTTAACAACAGTGGCAAGAAAAAAGAAAATCCTGGTGTCATGCCAGTAACACATTTGTTAGTTTGGTGCCCAGGGAGACACTCAACTGATTTGCATGGCTGGTATTTAACATGGTATTTCTTGCTATGCTTATGTTACAGCAGAGGAATCATTTCCTTACTCTCGAGCATGTACTTCTTGGCAATAGGCAAAGAGAGCAGCCGGATGTGACCGATGAGGGAGCCCCAGGCATGGGCTCTGGAGAGCGGAGCTTCAGGTGGCAATGGGCTATATGGCTGGATCACAAAGTAAACAGTTAGCAAGACCAGTCCCAGTGTGAGCAGGCCCTGCGAGAGAAGACAGGCATGTAATTAGTTACGCTGCGGTGAGCTCTTGTGTCTTCAGAACAGATTTCCAGGCTGGTATGAAGGAGCTGTGGCTGTGCGCTATAAGATGAACGTTTGAACTTTTGCTGTGGCTCCTCATTCAACAGCAATGCTACTTAAACATGCAGAGAGTTGTCACTCACTTCCTCTGTTAGGGCTGCCCAAGAATGAAATTAGGTAGTCTTCAAACCAACCCCCTAGAACTCAAAATAAATATATTTTAGCATTGCTAATGAGCTGCCACCAGAGCAATGATGAACATCTACGGACAGGTCAGATTCCTCCCACCTAGTCAAATAAAAGCTTATGCTTCCACCATACCTCTTACACAAGGTTTTATGGGCATTTTGCAGAAATCAGTCAAGCCTCAAAACACTCTGACAGAGTTGGCACCAGTTCCCTCCCTCATACCAGAATCCCAAATAAACCTTAAAAGATGACATGACGCATTTTTCCCCTTGGCCAAAGTCAAAATGAATCAACAGCAAAAACAAGAACAGAAGCCCCAAGAAATTGGAAGTTCCAGTTCTCCTGCCTTGCTATACAGCATTATAGGATTGGGGAAAACATATCTTGAATTCTTTTCTGAATAGGAATTATTTTGATGACTGAGCTGTAAAGAAGACACTAAAACACTACCGAATATCATCTTAATGGGAATTTTTTCGCCCTGTAGCAAATATCTCCAAATCACCTAACAAAACAGCATCCTTTTACCCACTTTGTAATACTCTGGATAGCATCTAATAGTTGATGTTCTCAAAACGTTTTTCCATCTTCAAATATTATGGCAGTAAGCTCACTTTATAGACTAGAAGCAGAATAAAGACAGGTAGAAGCTTGTGACAGGATCAGAAACAGAACTTCAATCTTTCGATTACCCAACCCTGAACTTTAAGACTCTCCTTCCTTCCTCATAATGCCACTGAAGGTGCTGACACTGGAAATCTTTGCCTGAAGAATCAATCCAAAGGCCTCAGTCTTTAATAACTTAAGGAGCGGGAGGCGTTGACGTGTTCAACTTTCTACACACGAGCAATTCCAAGCCTCGGTGAGCTTCCCTTCTCTTTTCAAACCAACTTACGGGAGGAAGAAGGTAAGCTACACTCACTGGCTTTTTAAAAATAGAACTGAGAAAAATTCAACAAGAAAATGCAAAGGGAAATAAAAGACTCAGGTGAAAAAAGATGATCTTCAGACCCTCAGATGGTCCCTGCGTACACAAAAGACATCTTACCTTGTAGAGAACCACTAAGATAGGGTACCGTGGAGGTCCCCTTTGGGGTTCGTTTCTTTCCAAGAGCTGCTTGACAAATTTCTCAATGGCTTTTTCTGACATCCCACACTGGTGGCCAGTCTGTCGCACCAAATCAATCGTTTCTGATAGCTTGTCATAAATGCTGAGTTCATTAGCCGAAAGCTCCATGGCCTCTGATGAAAAATCCCTGCAGAGAGATTCAATACGTTAACAGAAAACGCACCCCAGCCATACAGCTCAACACCAACACATTCAAAGAGATTACAGGAACACTGTTCTGTCTAAGCGAGAAGGAAGGCCTCTCTGGAGCAATCCTGCTTACAGCGAAAGCCACAACAGTTAGCTGAGCTCTAACCAGCCAGTGTCTCCCAGGGACCAAAAGAAGCCATGAAATTTACTGATAAGAGAAAAAAGTTGCTGAGATTCTCAGCTCACACATGTGAGCAAAGCGTCTCTGAAATCAATGAAGCTCCATTTCTTCATTTATTTCCAACGAGTCTGAATCACGAAGTGGTTCCTCACCAAGTACAAGGGCCAGCAATGCAAAACTGACCATCATATACAGCAGCCAAGCCAAGCTCTCCTGCACTATAACTTTAGTCACTTACTTTAACAGTTTTTCTTTTTTCCTGACTAAATACCCCGTTAACAATACAAATGGGATAGAGAAATAAGCAGTATGTGTGGGGCAAAGTTCAAGATTTTACAATATATTTAAGTTTTCGCAACAAAACGTCCAGGCCATCTGATTGTTGAGTAACAGTAATGTGATAGCGGCATGCTCTGCAAGCAAGAAAAACTCCCAGTGTTAAGCTCTTCCAAAAGTCTCCCTGCAGGTCATTCACACACAGAAACGCTGCGTAACTAAGTACTACAGCAAGAACTGCATTGCTAACCTCCAGACAGAGACAAAATGGTGTTTGATACCAAATTATTTCCCACCATGAAACTTCACCAGGGACGCTTGTAAGAACACACCTATGAGCGAACAACATAAAGATACCACAGAAGAAACGTATTCCTCTCGCACTCCCCCTGCCTGTCACAAAGGCAGAAGCTTGCAATACCAAGAGCAGAAGCTGGGCTGAAGAAAAGATAGAAAGAAGCAGTCGGATAAGTTAATAGCTGAAAATATGAGAATGCCATTGCTAGAGAGATGTTTAGCCTCAGCAAAACACAACCAAAGGAAAGGGAGCATTTGTGAGGTCTTGCTTTGCTTCTTGTTTCTCAGATGAGAAAATTCTAACCTGGATCCAACTGGGACAACCAAAACTCCTTCTGGAGAGACGCAATTCAGCAATGCGTTGCCCCAAGCACAGGCTGAGGCCCATCACATAAAAACCCAAGAAGTGTGACTGATATATCCAGCTCACAGCTGAAAATGGAAATCGGGTGCCTGTCTCCCTTTTGCTCCAAGTACCTCCTGACATCAGGAACGGACAGCCTGCGAATACAGTGCGCAGCTTAACCCAGTTCAACACCTTGCTCTGCTCAGTCTGTTGCCTTACTGTGAGAAGAGTATATAACTATTATTTACACAAGTCTTCTCTGCATGCACCTCTCAGCATAGCCTGCACTTTTAAAACACAGATCAGTTTTGCTTACTCGAGGACAAGCTGATAAGCACTGGGTAATATGTTATTTAAGCTCAGATTTGCTCAGCTCTAACTCATTCTGACTATTCCCACAAGACCAATCAGCCAGCACAAAAATATATACATAAATATATTTATATAAATAAAAAGAAATAAGATTCTCCTGTTAGGCAACCAAATGCAAAATCTGATTTGCCTTTGAACAACTGCACTGAGACCTCTCACCCTAAACTGTGGGTTTCTACAACAAACTAGAACTCAAGCAACGGTATTTCTAATCTCTATTTCTGCAGCGCTACGGGGTAGTTTCAGAAACTTTTCCACAGGACTACCAGCTTCAGCAATTGCTTCCTTTTCCCCATCTCCCTTCCGCCTTTCACTCCACCAACATTAGCTCCCTGTTCTGCTCTTGCACATTTGTTTCTGTGGTCACATGGTGAATCAGATCAGGAAAAGTATCTGGCTGAAAAATAACCCCTATTTGTTTAGGCAGCAACTGCTTAAGCATCCGACTCAAGCAGTTAATGTCAGATGCTACATTAACATTAGTGTCAAATATCTAACCGCAGCCGTAGAAACACCAAAAGAGTAAAACGCCAAATTAAAACCTATGAGAACACGCTGCACTACATTGCTGGGTTAATTAGTTTCTGGCCCTGTTCTGCCACCATTCCTTGCATTCCCTGCAAATATTTGTCCCAGATCTTACCACCTGAACAGGCTCACGGGCTAGCAAGCTGTCCAAAAGCAGGTTTGATCAATATCTCGTTAGGGATTGTAAGCTCTCCAAGGCAGGGATCTTTTCGTCTGACCTGCAAAGCGCCTGGCATGCACTCGACCCTATAAAAACAGTATGCTGCTTTACTCTTTCATTTATGTAATAACCTGATTCATAAAATAAGCAAAAGCCAGTACATCTGCAGGATATTAAATGCCCTTTTACTTTTCCAGCTTTTTATGGTTACTTTAGTTGTCTTGACACTGCAAGACCACTACAGTAAATGGTCTAAAGGGTTATCTAGCTTCCTCTAGCTCCCGTGTGCCAAAGTTCAAGCCTGTGAACCTCTCCCCATACAGAACTGCAACAGATTCAGCAAGCTTTCTCTGCTTGGGAGCCTTACAGGATCTGACTGGAAGCACTTGAAAACAATTATCCCTACTGAAATGCTGTCAAAGAAGGCAATTTCCCCTTTTCTGAATAGCAGAAACTCCCTACGACCATAAAATGCAGAGCTGCATCTTCGTTCTCCCCACCTCCCCATTTGTATTCAACTCTGAGCAAACACATTTGAAGATAACCCCTGCAAGTCACAGACAGACATTAAAAAACCCATTGCAGTTCCTCGACAAATTCAACAGCAAGCCATGTCTTCAGCCAGGAAATAAAGCATTTTTCTAAGACACTGTTTTGAGAACAGATGAGGCCTTAAAAAAATAACAATCCATTACTTCCCTTCCTATCAGCACAATACTAGTGACAAAATAACCACAGGCTACTGCACGCACTTAGCTCTTAGTAGTGACTAAGTCTCGCCGCTTTTACGCAGCGACATCTCAAAAATGGGCCTTTTACGCTGGAGAACCAATATGCTTCTTTTCATGAACTCCACTATCCCAAGAAGAATAAGCAGCGCTGTGCGCTGGCTTTCCATCCAAGCGCCCCATCCTACAGGGAAACTTTAGGCACGCCTACGCAGAGCGTACGCTCCGCGTACAGAGCGTGCACCTCAGTGTGTGGACCGAGGCTTTGAAAAAAGCTAAATATTTAGAGAGAAACGCTGTTAGAGGAATCTTTACGGGGCAATCCGGTCCGCGTTGCTAACGCCAGGCTGTTGAACCTGAGACGACGGTAAAAAAGGACTCTCGGCTGCTTCAGCGCCCTCGGTGCCGCTGCTTGTCCCCTTGGGCCTGGCGGGGTGGGTGGCAGCAGAGGGGGCGGCACCCGGCCAGGCCGCCCAGCTC